TGCACATGAAAACTATGATTGGTTGCCATAGCCGCATTTAACCAGTTGATGATCTGTTCTTTAAAAAGCGCAACAATATGGCCCTTACTGCAGAATTCCTGAGGTTTGTTCTTCTTGGCTTCTGCGTCGCCTATTGTGTGAGTACTATATTTGAATTACTCTAACATGCTTGTAATTAAGATCAATTATTTCGTATAAACTCGAAGGCAGGCATCCCGAGAAATGTAATTTCAAGGATGGGCGTCCTTTAGGAGAAGTAGGAAATTATATTCAATAAATTTTCGACATTGGATCCCCGGGTCGTCTTCAAACTTGAGAAAATGTGCAAAGAACAATTGACATTTCAAAGTGCTCGTACAGTTATATAGTGATTTAGTGTGGGCACTAATTGGTAGCTGCAATTTGCCTCACCACGTGGTGGACATAATAAGCAGTCGCAATGGCGTACTCGATAATTAGAAACTGTAATATTTTTCGGTCAGGGGTCAGTCCGTGTCATCCGGTGGGGATGCTAATTGCGGTTCATGTTGGTCCATGTTGGTCGGCTGTAGTCTCTTCCACCTTTCTTTGAGATGCCTGTACACTCCAGCTAGCTCGATACGCCGGTTGAAGCATAAATCATCGGAGTGCATGTCCTCAAGGAATTCTCGGCCATTTTTTTAGGAGCAAACTCCGACGATGCGTGCTTTTTCCCATGCAAGGCTGTGTCCCGTGTCGAGGCAATGCGTAGCCACTTCGGAAAAATGGTCAGGTCTCTTCACCGCCAACTGGTGCTCGTGGATGCGTGTTGGGGCGGATCTTCATGTTTGGCCACAATATACAGTATCACAACCTTCGCATGGGATTCTGTAGATGAATCCTTTGTTATTGGGGTAGCCAACCCTATTCTAGGCGTGTACTAACTGGGTGTGTACGCTAGTACACCCTGAGGATAGGGTTGCCTACCTCGATTAGAACGAAATTATCACTAAAACTCATGCGAAGCTGGTGATAAGGTATATTGCGGCCAAACAGGAAGACAGTTTTTCTCCCAAAAAATCTCAAGGAGTTTTTTTGACCGTCTGTTCTCTTTTAAAAATATATATATATATACCATCTCATGGCTCAGGACGATTGGCCTGTCCAAGAAACTGAGATACCATTTTTCTGCTACCACGATGTACAAATAGGGAACTCGGAGGCAATCTAGCTACAAATACCTCAAAAAAACTGATAATGAACATAAACTGCAATTAGCGTCGACACCGGCTGACCCGAACTGACTCCTGACCGACAAAGTTATACTTCAGAAGC